ACACGCCCTTTTAATTATTTAATTACTTTTCAGACGACAATTTATAACCCTACAAAATATCTAAAATTCGATCAAATCAATTTCCATCTACATGTTGCTTCTGATGCAGAGCAATTAAATTACTCTACTCCATCAAACAAAACAGGATTCCTTTTTTTTTTTTGTTATCACAAAGAGAAGTGATAGGCCATTGCCATTGAGAGTTTACACTCGTAGGAAGAAGGGATCAAGTACAGAGAAAGAGGGAGAAGCTGAGGCTGAGCTGGATTAGTCGTTGAAGAAGTCAGTGCTGACGTGAACAAGCTGGTCAACGGTCGTAGCAGAAGAATGAAGAGTACAAAAGTAGAATTGTAATTCTGTTTAGCTTTATCGAATTGTATTTCGTTCATTTGGTTGTTAGAGATATTTTCTCTGCAATTTGGCGATCTCAGGAATCTGTTCTTGAGCTTCGATTTTACGCTGCTTTGAAATCTGAGAGTCTCAGAACCAAATCAGTGTTGTAATTTAGGAAATAAAATAAACTGTTTCTCTTAACAAAGAGCATCACAAGAAACAGTGGAATGAGAAAAAGTAGAGGATTAGGTTCTTTATTAATGCATTTACTTCTTTTTTTTGTTCTATATAGAAATGATCCGGTGCTCTGAGAGCCGTGCCTTGCATGTATCAACAAAGTTAATTGCTTTAGGCCACCAAAATTTATTCTAGTTTTAAGAACTACATTTTTATAGCTTTAGCCAAATATGTAAGATATATGATTTTGTTTGTTATATATAGTAGAAAAACATTATGGAGTTCTATAAGTGTTTGAGACACAACTACAATAAAAATATTATGATGTTTAAAATTTCGTTTTGTTTTGAGAAATTATAATAGTATTAACATTAAATATTCTATAAATAAAATACATATTTAAACATATAAAACAACAATATCTTTTATGATTTGCCTTAATTAGGCTTCCATAAGACTAGGCATGGCACTGGGTGCTCTGCCTGTGATCTGATTCCACTACTCTCTCTTGCTCTGCCGCAGAATTCATCTGCAAAGAATCATCAAACTCCTGCTCGCCTTTCTTCTTGTTTCACTTCTTTGGATCAACTTCAAGAAGATTCTGGGAAGAGAAGTGCAATAGGGAGAAAAGCAAGGGGGACTTGGATCATAACTTTTGTGCGGGTGTGGTTATAACGTTCAACGCAGTTTCTGGTGATGAGAGATTGTTTTTTCAATATATCTGAGAGAGAGAGAGAGAGATGTTCTTGCCAATTCACTAGAATTATCTTCATTCACACCCACATCATCAAAGGTAATGATTTTTCCTTCAAAAAAGTTTGATACTAATCTATACAACATGTAACAAAATCTAACATTTATCTTCTCCAAAATCCAAATGCAGCGTTCAAGCTATTCCTTAATTAGTGCATTTGTTTATCGGTTCCTTGTTGGACAAACCATGTCGATAATTCCTTAGGGCATCTCCATCGCGATATGAATGGAGTATCATAGGTGGGCCCAGTTTAATTTGTTGAGTTTAAAAATAATTAAAAAAATCTAAAACCAGGTATTTTTCGAGTGATACTGAGAACATCTCCAGCAGTCATACCCTATTTAGGGTTGTTAACAATTTTTTTATTAATATTTCTAAAGTATGTGTACAGTGATGAACTTTGTGTTTTAATTTGTGTCCATCAGTAAACCCGATTTTAAGAGTTCATAGGAATAAAATAATAATATTTTTTTTATATTTAAAAATTTTATTTCGTAAAAATTAATTTAAACATACATTTTTTTGAAAAAAACACAAACTGGTTTACATGAAATGAAAATCAAAATATTTATTGATATTACAAATACAAATTTAGTTATAATTGCCATTCCCTCCAAATTGCTGCCATATATTCTCAACTAAATCTGCTTTTAAACGATAATGTATCTCTCTATCACGAACATCATTACGAATACCGATCACATTGTCTATATTGGTAGGCCTATTTGTAGAATATTGCATATCCACTTGAGACGATCTGGTTCCTTCTCCATGAACGAATTTTGCAATATTTTCTAGCGTATATCCGTTTCGTTCGTCTTCAACTATCATATTGTGCAAGATGATACATGCTCTCATTATCCTTCCGATTTTTTCCTTATCCCATATCAAAGCTGGATTTTTAACAATTGCAAATCGTGCCTGCAAGACTCCAAAAGCTCTTTCGACATCTTTTCGGACAGATTCTTGTTTTTGAGCAAATAATTTATCTTCTCACCTTGGGGAACCGGGATAGATTGGACAAATGTTGCCCACTTCGGATAAATTCCGTCGGTGAGATAGTATGCCAAACGATACTGATTCCCGTTGACAAAGTACCTAACTTTTGGGGCCCGACCTTCCAAAATGTCATCAAAAACAGGTGATCGTTCTAGAACATTGATATCATTGAGGGTAACTGGTGGTCCAAAAAATGCAAATCACTAAGTACCATATCGGTTGTTTGAGATCATGAAGAAACCCCCAAAAATCCCCAGACACACTAACCCTAATTTTGCAGCAACAAAATTTCTACTCGCTAAAACAAAAAATAAGAGAAACAGACGATTACCTTCGCAACCGGAGTCGACAAACACCTGTCTTCGTTGTCAAAATGGCTTTTCGAGGAGTTCAATAATCGCAGAATCGCCGGAGATCGCCGGAAAGAATGAGGTTTCGATTTTTTTTTGTTTCCTATCGAGAAGATGATATCGGGCAAACAAAAGTGGGATTTTTCCTCAAAAAAGTAGAAAAACACGTGGCCAATACAATATTGCACGTGTCCTATAAACCTCTTCTCAAAGTATATTAACTAAACGTCTGTATGTTAACTTTTGGACCTCTTTTAATAATTTAAAAAGGCTCAGCCCATATGTATCTGTGCCATAAACTTCTTATAAGCCCTCAATGGAAGTGCTCTGATGAATCGGTATCAAGCAAGTATCATGGCATGTTCTGATTCGGCTTTGGAAAAATGTGGGGACAAATTATTTTCAAGGGCATTTCTCGACCAAGGACAGAGCCTCGACGATGACCATTTCTTCGACACGAATCCCCGACTCGAATCGTCGACACCGGAGCCGTTAATCAAGTCAAGCTTCTCATCAGTTCGGATTTCATTTTATTATATCCGCGACACAAGTGTTTTTTTTTGCTTTCTTTCACCGACGAATCGGCGAGATTCTCTCCAACCAAAAGCTCTCCCCCTTTTTCGTCTCTCACTTCTGCTTTCACTTCCCCATCGCTCTTCTTCGACCAGTCGTCTCATTTCTCCCTTTCAGTTCCTTCTTCGACGTTTCTGGTCTTCGGCGTGAGTGGCAGATGCAAGATACCTTCTTCGGATTTTCTGGTCTTGAAATTGTTGGATTCCCCAACAATTTGAGATTTTGGATCTTGAAATTGTTCAATTTACAGATGTTTTGATTACTTGCGTTTTGATTTTTTCTCTTGTTTCCATATTGTAAGATGATTGATGAGGTTGATTTCTTATTGTTTGATAGATTTTTATACATTGAGGAAAGATGTTGAAGTAGCATCAGCTCGTGTCAAAGAGATTAAAGCTTCTTCTGGTTTACAGCAAATAGAAAAAGAAATAGCAACGGTTGAGAAATCTGTTTTGGGCTGATGCTAAGAGCAGAGATGATTATCTGAGTTTCAATGATGTTGTATTCTTTGATACTACTTATGTTAAGTTTAACTATAAGTTGCCACTAGCTTTATTTATAGGTGTGAACCATCACTCCCAACCTATGTTGCTTGTGGAAAGAAGCTTTTGGTCTTACTGATTCCAAGTTGTTAAATTTTCGTCAAACTTGTTAAGAAGCTATCGATATATCTTTGTAATATGAACAAAAGAATGAGTTTCTTGATTGTTGTCTGACCAGGTCATAGAATATTGTTTTTTTGTTGGATTATCTTGGAGCTTTGTTCCCAGTGGGTGCAACAGAGTTAGAATCTTTTGGATGTCTGTTCACCAACCCATTTCATTCACATTCCACTGTATATTTACCTTAATTTCTATAAAAATTCACCACTCCTTGCAATCTGGTTCTTAATCAACATTCTCTAATCTAACGTTTATTTTTTTTCAGGTTGATTCTATATTACCTCTCTATTATTCTTGTTGTGGATTGTTGTGTACTTGGGAGTTGAGCTTACTTTGAGTAGAAGCAATAAATCCGACATGAAGGTCTTCTTCTAACAATCTTCTGTCTTTATGAATCTCCACTCGTTCTTTTTGTTGGCTATCAAAGAACTAAGCAATTTAATTATTTCCTCCTTCTGCAGCAAATATAAATGAAGATGAGAGTGGAAACCGCGCTTGTGATTCTCTTGGGCCTCATATCAGTTCAGCAATGCTATGGAGGTCTAGTATCTTAGTTTATACTCCTTCCATATTTTTAATGCTTGTGAGATTCAGAGATAAGCAAGAAACATATGTAAAAATGGTGTGAGTTTCAATTAAATAGATGAAGTTTCTGTTTCCAGGCGCAAGCAACTGGACTTGCACGTGCTTCTCTTCGGGAAATCAAAGTGAGATCCTGGAATCTAACTGTACCACATCATGTAATTGCAGACCAGGTTGGCTTTCTTGAATTAGTTTTCTCTTTACCAAGATTCTGTAGAAAACTAACTTTATGACTCTTCCTTACAATAGCAGATAGAGACCAATGGTTATGCTTAAAAATCTGTTATTTCTAAAATCTGTTATAACTAAACCCTAAAATCTGTTAAAAATCTGTTATTTCTAAGAACCCTTAATTAAGTTCAGGGTTGGAGGGGCATAATAACATTAAGTTCTTCACTATTCAAAAATTAAAAAGATATTGATTAAATAAAGCTAAGATCCTCTTTTTGGATATCAGGGATGGAGATGGCCTTAGCTCCTATTATATTTTTTCATAAGAGAAAGATTTGGTTCAACCGGTGTCATCGAATTTGCCTCCACCGGTAACTGAAGTTGATATTATCTGTGCCCTAACATCACCAACAAAATCTAAGTACATGTAGTTTCATTGTAGCAAACAATGCTTTTCAATTTTGTTTTGTTCAGTGTTATTCTTGAGTGTTCAACAGACACGATTTTGTGAGATCAAAGGGAAGGTTTGACCAAATTTTGTTATTTGTTTTGCATCCGCACTCTTCTTCTGCTTCATCATCGACCTTGTATAAACCATAGATATAGGTTAAAATATCTGAGATCTGTGGTTAAGTATATACGGTTTTATTTTACTTTGAAACTGAATATATGGATATAAAATATGTGAGAGAGGATGGAGATTTTATATATGTAGTGAACTTTATCGAATACAAAAAAAAAAAAAAAAAAAAGGAATTTCTGTTCGTTGCACCATTGAAACTGAATAATCAATCCACTCTGTGTTCAGGCTGACCGGATTAGCCGATAAATTATTAATCAAACTAAATAAGTACCAACATTCGAAAGTCAAAACTTGGTCAGAACTCGGTTTATATTCATATATAATATCCAAACCCGATCAAATGAATTTTCAAATTAGGAAAGATTTTCTTTCTCTTGTTTTTTGACCACAAAAGGTGATCAATGAGCCTGAGCTTGAGAAGAAAGATCTTGTTTCTATCCACGAGACCTTTTTTAATACCAAACATTGGTATAATATAACCATTCAAGAGAAAGGCGTTGCACATGTTCTCGAAAGCTGCAAGAATATGATCAAAATACCCTTAAGAAGATACATTTGCACCATTTGATTTCTAATTGTAGCATGTGACGACAATGGTTGAAAACATAAGCAGTTATTGTCGAAAACTAAAACAAAAGATGTGAGCTATCTAGGAGAAACTGTTATGCTCTGAGACCAGTTGTTCAATCATCGTCACTTTCGTCTTGATTGCTTGGATGATTATTTTTCTGAGCTTGGAACATCTCAGCAATCTGAAAATAGGAAAAGGGAAAAGAATTTCAAAAGAAAGGCAAATAAGTAAAACCTTATCAGGGACCACAATGCCTATGGCTGCACCATACTTAGGGCTAATTGTCAAGTCAGCTCCTTTCACTTCCCATACCTTTAAGCAAAAGCATCAGCAAAACACACTTTTGACCCATAAGATTTTTCCAGATAGTAATACAAGCAAAGCAAAACATAATCCTACCTCAGTGGGCTCGAACCAAACATGTGGTTTGTCGCTGTCACCAACACGATAGTCATGCTAGATAGTTTTGAAACATTACAATCAAGAAGAACTCAGTCAAGATGCATATATGACACTGCAAAGGTTTGAGAGAAGAACGAAGAACGAAATATCCTACTTGTGGTTTAGCAATCCTATGAGAGGAAAGAAGAGAATACAGCTCTTTAAGCTCGGCTTCAGAAAATCCAGTACCTAGTAGCCCAAACCGTATATAATTAAGGTATTGAAAACAGACCATACAAGAAAATGTTAATGCATATATAACACTGACCTAATTTACAAATGCTCTGAAACTCTTCCTTTTTCTTGTCGTAGCAAGCTAATAAAAATGAACCAAATAAACCTACAAAAGGAAATCGTATCGATTTTTTAACAACAACATACCAATAGGGTCAAAATGTATACATTTTGAATGGGTTTGTTTTCACCTGCACGTTTGCCTTTGCCGTGAAAAGCACCAATTGGTACAAGATCAACAGAATCCCCAATGCTGCATAAAAATATTAAGTGTCAGTCAGTTTAAGACTCCTCTATCTTTCGATTTCTACTTCACCAAATTGTTGAATAAGAGTACTATTTGCCTGTCCATATAGTCTTTCTTCAGATTTAGCCAAATGCGTTTTGCAGGCTCATAGGTTGCATCCGAGGTCAATGTCTTAATGACCAAACCTTCACAGCTGCAAAAATAACACTATATAGATCAAGAACTGGAACATATTATAAAGATTACAAGAAGATACAGAGAAGTGTCATAAATATATACCCGATGTCAACAGAAGCCTCGAAAAACTCTTTTATATCATCAGTATCGCTTGATGTTAGAGCAGTTACAAACCGGAAATACCCAAGATCTTCCTCAAACGAATTGTATAGCTCCTGCTTGAATACAAATGATTATATAACAGTTTCTTTTAAAATGAAACCAAAGATTTATGAATTTACTGATATATATGTCTCTATATATATATATATATATTATATATATATATATATTATATATATATATATATATATATTATATATATATATATATATATATATATATGTCTAACCTCTCGGCGAATATCAAGATTCTCTTGGATAAGTTGTTGGCCATTTAAATATAACATGTCAAAAGCAAAGATGCATACGCCAACCTTGATATCACTCACTTTCACATTTTTCCGCGCTCGAGTGCTCAAAATCTTGAAAATAATACAAGAAACATGAAAACCTAAACACTTTAAATATCAGAACCTGGCTATTTTGCTATAATGAGTTACCTGGAAGGGAAGAACCTTCTTTTCCTCTCTGTCGAAAGCAACAACCTCGCAATCCAGAATAAAAGATTTCACAGAGGCCTTCTTTGATCTGCACAGAGAAGATTACACTAGATTCAGTAGAAAGAAAAGACTCGCTCTTTCTAATCTTTTCAACAAAGTGATACTCACAAGTCTACCTTCTGAACGTACGAGCAACATCAGGGTACTTGCCAGTATTTCTTTCACCATTTCTACTGTATATCTCGAATATACCATCCTCCATATAATGTATCTGCAGTGTCAAAAACATAAAAACTCTGTTTTAGGAATAAATATTCATCAGGATTTTGAAGTATACACCAATACATTATCACCTGCACACGTTCTCCATCATATTTGTATTCGCAAGTGAAACGGTGCCCTCGATGTTATTGAGTATCTGATCTATACTTTTAGTTACTTTCACAAGCATGGGTCTAATTGGAACACCAAGTGTTAAGTTACAAGTTTTAGTAAGATTCCACACACCACCGGTTAGAAGAGCATGAACAATCATGTCATAGACAGGAAGCACACTGTATACTCTTTTAACAATCTTCGCAGCCTACACAAAGATGGATCTATTGTAAGTCACAGAGCTCATAAAGAATAGATTTTGATACAAGAAAATGAAAGAGACGAGAGAGAGAAAGTGAAACCTCTTCTAAAGGAGACTTGATATTTGGTGGTGGCTTTGAGTGCTCTTCATTATACACAGCGGCTTGTCCCAATGCAGCTAAGACAATCTTACCCGAGAACCCTAACCGTAAATTTCCCTGCAGGGTTTCGAATAAGGAACCTTAAAGAGGAATGAACAGAAGAAAAAAAATTGTGAACGAGCCTATACATATACCTCAAGTAAACGAGTTAAGTAAAGAGTTTCACAGTCTGTTGTTTCAACAAGAAGTCCTGTAATCCGATTCTTCTTATTTCTCTGACTATTTGTGGATCCTAAAATTCACGCTCAGAGATTTAGTGTTTGGTTTTAGTGAAGAAAATGATGGGCAAGAATTCTGGATGAGATCGATGTAAAGTAAAAGACAAAGCTCGACGAATTGGATTTGTATTGATAATATAAATGGTTTACAAGTGATTTTTAGCTGAAAATGAGATGATCCTTTACATGGAAATGAAGTACTATTTATACTAGGTAGGTCGTTCGAACTACTACGAGATTTTCGGGATGACTCGATCTCCTCCTTTCCGAGATCTTCGGGATCTTCTCTTATCCACTCTTCCTTATCCTCGTAGCCTGTTGCATGCTACCGAATATCCTTGCGAGATCCTCTTTTGGTTAAGTTTGTGGGCCTTAAAGCCCATAGACGCATGTGCGATGATTGGTTTAAAACGTGGGCCGGATTTGGCTAAATCCAACACCAACATTTGCCCCCCAGCCCATTTAGTGAGATGCGAGCTAAAAGGGGCGGACTATTCTTAGAAAGCTTCGACTTTCCCTCTTCTTCGCGATTTTATCTGTACGGCCCAGATCGAGCTTTCCATAAATTGAGGGTCAAGATCTTTTTAGCCGCCTAGGCTAAGATTTTCTTTGATTCGATGTGCTCGAATCTTACTGATATAACGAAATCATGATGAGATATAATGAAATCTTGCTCGCAGATTAAGATGAACGGTCAAGATCCGATTCTCGCGAGAATTTCGTCAATCTCGATAGCGATCATAAGTGCTACTTTATAAAGATCAACTTCCCACGTCTTCTCATCATAACTGCACGCTTCCCACTCTGCTTCAAGGTAACTTCTCTCCTTCTTTTTCATTAACTACTCTGTTTGTTTTAAGCTCTTTTATTTCGAGAAATATCGTTTTTGACTTCATTTCAAAACTTCCGAGAAAACTTCCTTTCACCGAAATTCAGCAATGGAGCACCCAGATATTCCGACCATCTCGATCGTCTCGTCCAACGACCTAAATCGTTTCCGGCGGATCCACGACATTCCTTCTTCAATCGAGCTCGTCGTCCCGGATAGAGGAGAGACTCCAAAGACGGTTCGGGCTGGCTACAGTATCGCCTACACTCCGTTTTTTGACGCATGCGGTATTTCTTTCCCCATCCCTTCGAGTCTTCTCACAATTTTGGCGGATTTGGGGTTGGCGTTTCCCCAAATGAACCCTAATTTTGTCCGGCACGCTTTGGCGTTACTGGTTAGGGCCGCCGAGGCAAGAATCCCCTTCGGAGTAGAGCAACTCCACAGGATGTGCTCTATCAAGAGCAATTCTTCTTTTCCGGGGTCTTTCTACCTATCTCCTCGAAAGACTCGAAGTGTTTTCGAAGATATCCCGGCTCGCGATGATCGTTGGAAGGAGAAATACTTCTTCTTCCGGATTAACGCGCACTCTGTCGGATCTTTTGATTTTAATCGGCTGCCCACAGTTTGGGCTCCGAGAGTTGGTTAGCATTAGGATGCTTAATCGATTTTTTTTTGTTAGGTTAGTAAGCTCGTTGCTGACTATTTGCTTTTCTTGTTCCGCAGTTGTTCCGACGAACACCGGCCTAGACAAACCACTGATCGCTGCTTTGAAGGACGGTGATTGCTCGTGGCCCAACTTTACAAGAGAAAGGATCCGTCGCGCTCTTGGAACTGATAATCTGCAGCCTGCTATTGCTCCGGAGCCTGAAATTGATCCGTTGAACCCGCCGTCCATTAATCGTCCGGCCA